TTGTTTTGATGTGTTTTTTCTGTATAAATTTAAGCAAAATCCTGATGCCCATTCATACTCTCCTCTTATCTGATGTGACAGACTAGCAGCAGCTCCTGAAGGTTTCTTCATTAGAGATAGCACTGCTCTGCAAATCCTCCCCTCCCTCTCTCGATCTTGTCGTGAGAAGTCAGAGCAACACAGAGCTGTCGGGGCAGAACCTCCACACGTGATGGTTGCACTGTAACAATAAATCCTCCACAGCTCATCTTACCACTGAATACTCTGCTTCCTTCTGTTTCACACAAACCATTATGTGAGCAAAGGTAGCTTTATACTGGGCAGAGATAAGGAAATTCAACCAGAATTCATTTAAATTCACAATTTAAAAGAAACATGCATCTGTAAAATTCTCACATTGCTTGTTTGAATGCATTTGCAGCTACAGTATGATTCCCAGAGCATTGCGTGCCTCAGCCGCTGCAGGCTTGTCCATCCTGTTTGGTTTCCTCCATTCAGCCTGACACAAACTGAACTACATGGCTTCAATCAGGAATGTAAACTACCAAGAATGACAAAAACTCTCAGCTTACGAGAAAGAAGAGACAATCTCATGAATGAATCGCACCTACCATTCATAAATCAGGACTGAATGTACGAAGAAAACAATTGAGTCTGAGCTGGAGAGAAATATAAGGAACAAAGTTAGTTTATTGTACTCTCCAGAGACAGTCACATTTACTTAGTTACACTTACTTGAGTTACTTTTAACTTCTACAAGTACTTTTACAGCACCGTACGTCAATAGTATTATTTTGAAGTAAGGCTACTCTTACTTGAGAACAATTTCCAGCTACTTTTACCTCTGGTTACCTAACTAAATGAAGAATAAACATATTTTAACCAAGAATTCACCAAACACAGAAACACAGTTTATGGTAAAGTGAGCTTCCTTGTCTTTTATTATCTATCTGCTGTGCCATTTGGAGCCCAAGTGAATATGCAGTAAACGGCAGATATTGTCACTAGAGTTACTTATAAACTGTATACAATGAATTACTTACTATAATTACTGGGTTCAAAAACTTTATTTCAAAATTAGAGTTGGAAATGCATGTTTCTTCTGCCTGAATTTCCATCATCTATACCCGCTTGTCCTTGCAGGGTCATAGGGGGTGTGGGGTGCCTATCTCAGGCAGTGGTTAGGTTAGAGGCGGAGTACACCTTAGACAGATAGGTCTGCCATTATAAGGCAGACCTGAGGGAAATTCAGAGCAACCAGTTCACCTCACACTCATGTTTTTGGACTGTGGGAGGAAGCAAGAGAACATGGGGGCTGTGCTTTTATACCAAATACATTTTTCACTCTTTTCTGAATGACTACTTCTTACTTCTACTTGAGTAAACAATTACTGAAGTATTGCTACTCTTACTTAAAAGCTCTTGTACTGTCCATTTAAAATATTCTTCTTCACAGTGAAAATGATCCTTAGTTTCCACAGCTATAGTTTGCTGTCTGCAGGTAGAAAGCCTAACTGTGTGCGCTCTGTCCATGGTTGCCAGTGAGAATGCAGAGAGAAAGCAGAGGCTCTTTCAGCTAAGTTGTTTCAGGCTGTCTGTGCACATAGAAGCCCTGCTGAAACAGAAGTAATCCAAACAAAAAGGACAACCTCTGACCTTGTTGTCAGAGAACCAAAGCCATGATAGACCTGTGCTATTTTAGCTTATTCACACTTGTAACATTGCCCTCAACATTACTTTAGATGTTTTAGATGATTCCCAGCTTAAAAGCTCTGAATCACATGAACTGCTCTGCAGCAGGCTTCTGCAGGATTGGTGACAGTCTGAGGAGATAAGTCAATGATTTGATTCTGGTGTGTTGGAGCAGGGATACATCTGAAACATGCAGGACACTGGCCCTTGAAGACCAGGACTGGACACCCCTGGTGTAGATGCACACGTTTGCAGAATGAGATGCAGAAAAGAGGACTATGATGAAATCTGGTGAACTATTCGAGAGTCCAAGATGTGCAAATGGAGATCAGGCATTTCTGTTTAAGCGGGTTTTGCTATTCTTTTTGATATTGGTGGAAAAGCTTTATTTCACACTGCCATTCCTCTTTCTATCTGTACCATGATAGACCAGTTTAAATCCACCTCCAGTACTCCTGGCCTTGCTTCCTTCCCAACTAGTCTCCTGTACACATATAATATATTCCTTCCTTCTCTCTATCATTTCTGCAAACTCTCTGCCTCTACCTGTCATTGTCCCTACATCCACAGTCCCTATCGTAACCTCTGAACTCCTACCTTTCCTTTTCTCGTGAAGTAATTTTAAGTAGTTTGTTTTTTAGTCATCCTGTGGACTCTGGTTGTGGTCGCATGTTTTGTTTTGTATCTTAGATTTTTATGGATAAAATGCAGCTGGGTCCTCCACAAACATGAAGGTCGGAATGGCGTTATGCAAATAAACTCCCCTTGCTTTAATGAAGAACTTTATTAATGTGAGATCTGCAATAAAGGGAAAGTTTACTGAAAGTTAAGCTTCTAAATTCTGTGGTCATTTATTGATGTCATTAAACAACAATTTAAATTAAAAAAAGTTGGCTTTTTTAAGGGTATGTTTTATGAATTCCTACAGAAACGTTGTGCAATCGTATGAAAGCAAACAGGCGCCTTGTGTCTGTGCAGATAAGAGGGCCCCTGTTCAGCTAAAAGGAAAACGACCCACCAAGCCTTGAGTTTAATTAGAGTCCAGTCTGAGTTATTAGAGCATGTCGGCCGCTGGACTCAACACACTGAGGACAGACATCCACATACATCTGACCTCGGTCACACCCGTCAAGTGTGTGTTGTAGGTTCATTTAGGCTTTTAATTTTTTATTTCACTTCAGAAACCTTCATGATATTATATAAAACAGGTACCTTGTCACAACAAAAACTGTGACGACAAGACCTGCCATAACCACACTGGCAAGATGTAGAGGAATGAGCAGCTGAATCACATGTTCTGCTTTCACCACTGTGGATTATTGAGGTATTATCCCTGGAAAAATAGTTGCTTGATGCTGAGAAGGTTGCAAAGAGATCTGTGACAGTAATCATCAAAAACCCTCTTCATTTTTTCTTTCTTCTCATCACAAAAACATCTCAGGAATGACCTTTGGTCGTCCATCTCCCCGAACCCCTTCCTGACATTTTATAGCGACCATTTGAGTGCGCCTGGGCCATAACCGCCACAGCCACAGCCACCGCACCCCACCTCATGCCACCTTTATCTGCAGCAAGGAGGACCTGTGACATTCTGACAGTGTTGTGGCAACATCATGAGAACGTTATGTTTGAAAGATCTGTTGTCGTTGCCACTCAGTCAGCTTGAGCTTGAGGCACGAAAACGTATCCTAAAGTTTGTTGACAAAGGCCATATTTTGGAGACATTGGACACAAGCTTTTCAAAGGATCTCCAAACAGAATGCTTTCATGTTCCTGATTAAATACAAGGAATATATTTAATAATTTATACACTAAGTAAACAAAGTAACTGTGCCTGCAGCTATTTGTAATCTCACTGTTATATGTTGAAATGTACCCTTTTACTATCAGCTCTAATGATAAATCTTCTACTGAGGATCAAAAAATTCATAATAAGATCATGCAGAGTTGAGGCAAACATAATTAGATTTAAATAATTTGGCTTTACTTTTACTACATTTATCATTTTATGTTTTTAGTAAAATAGTTGTCTGTGGTTCAAAAATTCAAGTCTGATAGACTCCACTTTGTTAGGATAGGAGATGTCTGGACATCTTTTCTCCTGATTTCTGAAGGTGTTCCTCAGGGTTCTCTCATTGGACCAGTCTTTTTTTTTTTTTTTGCTCTGACTATTCATACTGGAATTAAAAATCAAAAGGTTTGATTACATCTTCTTTAAAACACACCTCAGTTATTTGAAAATTATTTAAACTGTCAGAACACTAACTTAGTGAGAAATTAGGTATTATTTTTAGAAACAAGTCCAGATTTGTTTTTTGTTTTTTAAAGTAAAAGAATTAGAACAGCAGAGTTGTTGTTAACAGCGGAGCAGCCTAAAACTCCTAGGTGCTGAAAATACCCCACTGCTTAGAGGTTCATCACTACAGATAACTATATAACACCCCCTCTGCATCTATCGGACCTGCTTTCTTAGATTGCTGGAAGCTTTTCTACACTAGATTGATTATGCTGCAACAATATTAAACTGATGTAACTAATTTCCTTCGTCTTGACTTTAGTTTTAATCACCAGTCTTATGAGTTTAAACTGAAATTGATGTTGATCTAGTTGGTCCTGGTTTGGTTTATTTTGGCTCTCACGTTTGACTCCTGTTCTTTTTCAACAGGTTTCCAGAGGAATAAATGATATTGAACAAGTAATCTAATATTCAGTTATGACTTTGGTTCAGAAGCAGAATAAAAACAAGACATTTTCTTTGTTTTAATGCACATAATAAGGTTGATGGGGTTTTTTCTTCTACCCTTTCTTCTCACTAAAGAATCGAAAATCGAAAGATTTACTTTCACAAGTGAAGCATTACAGCTAACGCTTCAAAGCTCTACTTGATATTTATAAAAAGAAACTTTATTAGAAACCGCTTTGGGATTATTTCAGTTGTTACCGACACGGAGACAGAAATGAAAAGGAAAAAAAAAGAAGCACGAAAGAGAGAAAGGGGGGGCAAAAAGGAAAAGGGGAGAGACGGAGAATAGAATGGAGGAAAGAAAGAAGGATGAAGAGAATACAAGATAACACCCTGCTTGCTTCTACACCTGCAGAAACGTTCATATTACCAGGTTTTTTACCAGAGCGAAAGATCCCCCCGGGGGATCTTGCCCGCTGCCTCAATCCCCAACCAGACACAACAGTGTGTGTTCTTTTCTTGATAACAAAAAAAATCTATTTTAGAAAAAAGATTTACTTTTTCTGTGAAATTGCATGAAATATATGTTAACTTAAAGGACAAGTACAGACTTTAGACCCTTTCAAAATCAGTAGCAGGATTTGAACCCACACCTCCAAATAGACTGGAGCCAAAATCCAGCACCTTAGACCACTTCGCCGTACTACCAAGATCTGTAGTGAGCATGTTCTCTGACAATATCCAACTCTATGGAGCGACTGAAGAACAGTGTCAGCCTTCACTGGCTGCTCCAAACAGGTTGTGAAAAATGGTACTGCTAAGGTTTTAGCAGGCATTGAACTTATTGCTTTATAGTGTATCTCATCCTAAAGCTTTTCGATGCAGAATACGTGACAAAGTTTAGTCCTTTTCTTCAAATTAAATAAGAAAGTGAGTGCAATGGACAACTGCATGCACACTGTCAGATTAAGGCTTTATTCTGGGCTTGATCAGTGCTCCCTCTGGTTTACGTTAAAAGGCTTTTGATCAAACAAATCCAAATAGGGCAGAGAGATGTCGAGATATTCTTGTGTTGAGTGGTTTGAAATAACGTGAAAAATGTTTTATAATTGTTTATATCTTGCTTTCTTCTGTGTTTTCTTAAAGGCGATGAAACAATTCTGAGGCTGCACGGTAGTGCAGTTGGTAACACTGTTGCCTTGCAGCAAGAAAGTTATGGGTTCAGGTCTTTCTGCATTGAGTTTGCATGTTCTCCTGTTGAATGTGTGTGTTCTCTCTGTATACTCCAATTTTCCTCCACAGTACAAAAACATGATTGTTAGGTCAGTTGGTCTCTCTAAGTTGCTCTTGTGAGTGTTTATGGTGTTTTTTGTCCTGCGTGTCTGTCTAGGGAGTACCCCGCCTTCCACCCAATGACCTCTGGAGACAGGCACAAGCCCCCATGCGGCCCTACAAGGACAATGAATGGAAATCATTTTTATATTGATTAATCATTCGCGTTGCTTATCACTTTATGCCTTCGTTCTGTTCTGCATCCTTTCCTGTAACTGATGTGGACCTCCTGAGTGTTGTTGCGTTTCATGGATGAAGAAAAAGGGCGAGAGTTTAGAAGTCAAGACACTGACTGAGAAGGCTAATTGGGAGATGCTTTTAAAAGCCATTGAAGTGAAGTAAGGTACTTTACAACATGACGTAATCTGGCTTCATTTTCCCATGAGACAAGCTGTGAACGCTGTATCAGCAGCAGCCACACGGCCAGAGGAAACACCACCCCCTCATGAAACAATGAGCCATGAATTTACAGTTCAGACCACAGGGGACTTCCTTTTTCAAAATATAATGTCCTTGAATCTGAGTGTTATATATATATAAAGATGAATAATACAGAGCAAAAATAACAGCTGTATTGTGAGCTAGTTTAACCCAGCAAACATTTTCTATTGTTATGCCTTTAATAGGTTTCATTGACTGAGGACTTTATAAAGCAGCATCTAAAACCTGCAGGACAGCAGTTCTTGATGACTAGACTTTTACACCCCTGCTCTACAGTTCACAGTACGTCAAATGATAAAGCTCAAACCAGACAATTGACTGAAGAAGTAGCAGTACTGTTGTGATTCCTCCAAGACCATGTGAGATACTGATAAATCCAGAGAGAAAATGACTATTTTCAGGTTTGAGGAAAACATTTTTTGTTTTTTTTTAACATCTAACTACTAACTGCTGTTTGGATCAAATAAGGGATGAGTGACAACACCATAACTTTTCATCAGTTGGGTCTGGATATTATATCCCAGCCAGATTAATCTAAGTGTAATCTATCCAAATGGGATCCGTTGGCCTGTACAAACACACTTATAGCCAGAGGTGGACAATCAAGGTCCAGAAAGTAAAAACCCTGCACAGTTTTCCTTCATCCTGTTCACTTAACCAGGTGATTAGTCCCTGTCTATGTCATGGAGATGGAAATGTAAATGGTTGGAACTAATCTCTGTACAGGCTTTTTACGTTTTGGACCTGGATTGTCCACCTCTGCTTATAGCACATTTTCCTCTGAGGTAAAATAAAAGATTAAGTACTTTAAATGACTTTTTGATCATTTTTTGCCCATACTAATTTCATTCTGAAGTTCATGGGCCTCGGTTAATTGGGAATGACCATTCGCTGTCATTCTCTTGTGGTGGGGTGGGGGGTGGGGGGGTTGCATGAGAACAGGCTTATCCTCCTTTTGAGTGCTTCTTCACCTTTGACATCTCACAGAGGGGATGAGATAAACACAAGGGGGTGACTTGTAAGCTTCACTGACTTTAAAAGAGAGACCTGGTTTGGGTTAAAACAGCAACTTTGTCTTCCTGCAGAGTCTTGATGAGATTAGGGCTCATCAGGAGGATGAAGGAGAAGTGGCAGCGTGTGGTGCTCCATTTTCTCTACGCCAGCACAGGAAACATCAGTTTCTAAAACAAAACGATTAGTAGAAACTATAATGTGTCGTCACAAACCTTGATGTCAGAGTTCCTGATCAAATTTAAAATATATTTTCAAATCATCTTAATACACAAAAACAAAAATGTCTGCCTTGATTAAAATAACCTCACTGGTTAATTTCCATAGGATTCTTCTCAGTGCCCAACTGGGCCAGGAAAAACAATGGCCGGCTACAGCAGTGGCATAAAGAGAAGCGGGCACGACTGTTTTCCATTAGCCAGGAATTGAAAAGCGCAGTCATGCGGCTGAACACGTCAAAAGCCTCCTGTTCTTTACAAAGAAGTAGCAGCAGTTCAGATGGACTCAACCGACCCTGAGAGGGTCTTTCCTTTAGCAAGACAAAAACAGCCAAAAAAAAAAAAAAAAAACTTGGACAAGCTTGTCGATTCAGGGTTTAAGGGGAAAATGCCCTTTTAGTGTGAGAAGGAGGGGAGACGCCTTCACGGGCTGCTGACTACGCTTTGGCAAGCGTCTCCGTAGCTTAGCCAGAGGGAAAAAAAAAGACCATAGAGATAGAGGTACCTAAATGTGCACTCAGTTAGGCTGCAGGATCATTAGGATTCCTCAAGCACCCATTAACATCATTCTCTTGAACTTAGATGGAAAACGCCACCCTTCCCCCTCCAGCTTTGCTTTGGTGAAGATGAGAGAAAAGAGAAAGACAGGATTTAAGGAACTTTTAAGAAATATTGGGTAGTGAATTTTATTTGTTGTGCGACAATTTGACATTAGAAGTCACCGGGGTCATCCAGTCGTAATGAGGCGCTCCCAGTCGGACCAAAGCAAAGGGTTTGCCCTGGCGCTCAACTCTCTTTGACTCATCGCCAACCGGTTTAGTTTGGTGGTAGTCGGACCAATCACACAGCGGCAGGTTGATTCATCTCTAGTGGATGGTAATCAACATGACAGGGTTGTACACACAGTCCTGATTTGTGTGTGTGTGTGTGTTTATGGTTGTCTCTCTGTCTAACAGAATACAGTATGAACTGTAGCAATAAAAGATCCAAATGTAGTAAGGATGCAAGCCAGATTTCGTGCGAAGTGAATTTAATGATAAAAGCAAAACTTATAGAGACAAGGTCCGAAGTGGAAATAAAAAAATCCCAAAGCAGCAAAAGAACAGGAAGTCAAGGGGAATAATGCAACAAAACGAGCCGGACACAGAATGGGATAAACAACAGGGAGAACCTAGCAGGAATCTTAGCAGGAGTAAGTCGCAGAAAAATCTGGAAAGGAACTGTGGAAACCAGAACACGTTTATCCTGGGAAACAGGTGGCTGATTACCAGCAGGCTGCAGCTGTGAGGAATCAGGAACTGGGGCAACTGAGGGAGACAAATAAGAACCCCAAACAAAGACAGACAGGGCCGGGCGGACAACTAACAGAACATAAAAACACAAGAAAAACAAAAATACAAAACTAACCAATAATATGCTTTCTGATGAGGCTCGTTTGTCAAATTAAACCTGTTTAAAATAACAACCTTTAAGCAGGTATAAAATGTACTTTGCTTTAAGGCCACATTTCTGTATTAAAAATGTTTTTCTTATTGGTCTGATGTAATATTCTGGTCTTAAATGTCGTGTTTTCATTAGCTGTAGGCAGAAAATCATCACAATTAACAGAAATAAAAAGCTTGTAAACATCAGTCTGTGTGGAATTAATCTACATAATGTGTTTCAGTTAGAGGATTAAGTTATCGAAATAAATTAACTTCAAATAATATTCTAATTTATTGAATATGACTGTATATTACTGCGTTTATTACTGATTTAATGAGAGAAAACTGCCAGAAGTGTTAATAACTTCCTGCCACTGCCTCGACCTTTTAAAAGTGAAGCAGCCATATTGGAATTTGACGTCAGGGTGGTGAAGAATCTTAAATTTTCAAACTTCCATTAGAACTTTTCCAGAACTCAGATGGTTCTAAGTCTGAGTACAGATGTAGTCAAATGCCTGACGTACAGGAATAGTTATTATTATGTTCATTTTTGTCTGTCCCTGTTATTTGTGCATTTAATGTAATTGTAATAATTGATTCTGTAGCTTTTTAGGTATATCAGCAAAGTCTTAAAAAGAGATGTATGTCAGATTTAAAGATTGCATAAGACACCAATGTCACCTTTGTATGACTTGGTGAAGAGCTGCCGATTTTCCGAGTCTGAATTTTGACTTCAGTGGGCTTTAGAGATGATTGTTTCTACCTTCCTTAACATTGTGATGACCCCATCCATGACCCCACAGCATTAAAGTTGGCGACCCTCATACATCTTCATTTATTATAGTGTAAAAATGTATATATTTTTCACTATTGTTATTTTTCATACAAACTCAATAATAATGATTGAATGCCTCGAAGTTTATTAAGTATTTTATATAAATAAATTATCTCTATATTTGTAAGAGTACAAATATAGTTATCATATGTATCATATGTCAGCAACTCATTTGACTCCATTGGTTTGTTGTAATTTGACTAATTCTTCTGTTTTTTACCGGTGTTGAGGTTTTCATGCCATCTTGGATCCCGGGAGCCAGGGTTAAGAGCAGCTACATGCAGGGATGGCTGATTACCAAAGAGGGAGATGTGGACAATTAGTTTAAGTAATTTTTTATATTTTGTTAACGATTGGTATTTGGTGTAAAGTCTTAATTAGTTCATTGAAAAAACCTAAATGTTCTGTTTGTTTCTTTTGTAGTTTGCAGTTGTCTTGTGTTTAGTT